CCAAGACCTAGGGACTACCTCTTTATCCTTGACAAAATGAGAGCCAGGTTGGCTAATTGGAAAACTAGGTTTGTGAATATAGCTGGCAGAATCACCCTTGCAAATGCCTGCCTTAATACAATTCCAAACCATTATATGCAATATACACTCCTCCCCACAAAAATCCTAAAAAATATTGACAAAATACAAAGGGACTTTATTTGGGGTACAACTTCTGAAAAGAAAAGACTCCACTTAATAAAGTGGTCTACTATTTGTCAACCTAAGTCTAATGGAGGTCTTGGTATTAAGGATGCAAAAACTAAGAATATAAGCTTACTATCTAGTTTAGCATGGAGACTTATAACAAATACTACAACTCCTTGGGTAAACTTAATTACCACGACATATGGCTATAGTAAAGCCGTAAAACCCCACTTGTTTATTTGGAAAAGCATTTTAAAAGGGTGGGCTGTGTGCAATAAAGGAATAACCTGGTCACCTCATTTAAGAACCAATATGGATATTTGGAACACAAATTGGATTCCAGAGGCAAGAAATTTACGGGGCCTAATTGAGGGACCTCTCTCTCCTAAAGACCTAAAAATAAGAATTAGAGATATCCATGATGGTACAAACTGGAATTTTAACAATCTCTCATTTGCACTCCCGGACACTATAAAGCAACGGATTTTTAAAGTTAGACTTAGAAAATATGGGCCAAAATGGGATATGCCAATCTGGTCAATGACTAACAAGGGTATATTCTCCATAAAGTCTTGTTACACTCTAATAGAGTCGTCAAAACCTAGTAACATAGATTTTGATTGGATTTGGAAACAAAACTGTCCAAACAAAATAAAATTCTTCTTGTGGCAATGCCTTCACAATCGGCTCCCTTGTAGAACCTATCTAGCCCACATCACCATTAACATTGATCCTATGTGCCCCATTTGTAAGACAGAAGAAGAAACACCTTTCCATATTTTTTTTCAGATGTAAGGCTAGTAGTTCTTTTTGGGACAATGCGGGATGACAGTTTAAATATAATAGTAATGGCACCCACTGGCTTCTCCAAGTAAGGCAATTGAATGTTAATCTTCATAATGCTTTGATTGACTGGAACACCCTTTTCCCTTTTATCCTATGGAATACATGGATTAATAGAAATAACAACAACCATAATAATAGCTCCAACACTATTAATATAAATCTCATAATACAAAGAGCCCTTGAATACAAACTTCTAGCTGATAATACAAACAGCCTTTAAAGAAGAAACACATTCAGGTAAAATGGCATAAACCTCCTAAGGGGTGGTACAAGCTTAACATTGATGCCAGCTTTAGTAAATATCAACCAAGTGGCGTGGGAGGTATTTTCAGAAACACAAATGGGAGTTGGATAATAGGCTTCACAGAAGCAATCCATATAAATGGAGCACTGGAATCAGAACTACTGACTCTTCTTGAGGGACTCACCATTGCTAAAGAATGGAATCTATTTTCTCTTGAAATAGAAACGGACTGCATACAGGTAATACAATGCATATATGAAGGAAATTACCTCTTTAACGACATTATAACTGCATGCAGGTTGTTAATGCTCCAGAAGAAGGACGTGATCCTGAGGCACAACTTTAGGCAGGGGAATGAAGTAGCACACATGATGGCAAAACAAAATGAGGCTAAAGCAACTAAGAGAAAGCTTTTTGTTCAACCACTTCTTTTTGTGGAATCAATCTTGAGAAGGGACCAAATGGAAAAAGTAGTTTTTGTTAAAAACTTAAGTAGTGTTGCTTGTAATAATTTAGTAAGCTATGTAACAAATGTGTCCTAGGTGACACTATCTATGGCTGTAATGCTTTGAACCCTATTTAGCTATAATATAAATTTCTTGATTTCGTTCAAAAAAAAAAAAAAAAGAAAGAAAGAAAAAATGTAAGGTGTATGTTGCCTTCTACCTGAGAGAAAGATTCAATAGACACCCCAATTCCCGTCCTCACCAACCCACTCCCACACGCCACCTACCCACCCCACCCCAACCCACCCTCACCCTCACCCCCATCCCTCACCCCACCTACCCACCTTCCCCCACACTCACCCCCGCCCCCGCCCCCGCCCCCCACACCCACCCTAAATAAACTATTATTTATAGTACTTTCTTTTCATGTTATAGATAGTTTTTTTTCCATTTCAACAAATGAGTATTTTCTTTTCATGATATAAAAAAGTATTTTTTTTCATTTTAACAAAAAAAGTACTTTCTTTTTATGATGTGTAGACATGTAATTTTTTACCCTCCCCAAGCTTTTACACATTTTAGCGTAAATATTTAATTTAGGTTTAATATCGCTATTTTAAATAGTTTTGACTCTTTTACTTTGTTTTTATCACAAAAAAAAAAATTACAAAAAAGTATTTCTTATCGTTAGGTTAAAGTCAATTAGTATATTTATATTTATAGTATTATAACATTTGAAAATACAAAAAAAATTAGTTTCACTCGTAGTATTTAGTTTTATATTAGCTTATTTTAATTTATAGTGATTTTTACATTTTTATAGATACATTGTACTATTTGATCTTTTTAACCTAAATTCAAACCCAAAAGACATGGTCCAACCCAATTACCCTTAGCCCTTTCTTCCCAACTCATTAGCCCACTTAAGTGCAAGATTTAATCCTAGCCATCTATTTCCTTCTAATCCAATAGCCATCATCCCTTCCCACTTCCATATAAAATACCCAATTATAGAAATACTACCCTAAGTTTTCAATTCCTAAACCTAGACTCTAAGCTAAAAAACGGCAACACCCGTAGAGATCGAGGATCTCTTTTACGATTCTGTGAAGGAAACTCAATTGGGAAATACCTTGGCCATTCCTCTAACCTTGAACGTCCAAGACCACCTTAAATTATCAGTAGCCATTTCCCCTTTACTCCAAAGCAAGCTACTTGCACACAAAGAAACAGAGAGAAAATCTGAACTCAGCAAAAAACAATGCTGGAGCGCAGAATAATTCAATGTTGAGGCGAAACAAGGATTTGGGTCAAAAGATTTCATCAAATCTTGGAAGATGGGGTTTATATATAGATTGAAACAGAGAAATGGACAAAGTCAGTTTGTATTTTTGAACAAGGAAAGGAAAGTTTGATTATGGTGGCTTCCACGTAGGCTTGGAGAATTTTAATAAGGATTCAAGCATCTTGCTATTATGAGTATTGAGAGGAGGCTGTAAAGAAGCTCGGTTAATTTGAGAAGTGTTTGAATCCGAGCTTGGTTGAGTTCCGTCCGGTTTCAAGTTTTCCGGTGTCGATTTGAGGTTCCGTTTTGAATTTCAGTGTTTCGGTTCAAGGATTGTTGCCTTGTTTAGCCCGATTGATTTGCAATTTTCAGCTTTATTCAGCAATAAAAGGTCAATTTCTCAATTTTCATTCTCATTTCATTTTATTACAATAACTTGGTGCGTGTGTTGGTTGATTTGTGATTCTACGTTGTTTGAGTATCATGTCTTAGTTTTCATTTAAATTGTTTTGATTAGTTTTTTTTTTTGATTGTGATGTATGTAGTCTTGACTCTTGAATAAATGCTTTTAATTGGGTATATGGGAAATTTGGAGTTGTTTCTTTCTTGGCAAGGAATAAGAATGGGCCATAAGGTGGGTTTTGTACCATAAGGAATCCGACCAAGTAATAGATCATGTTAGCTAGCCTATTTGCTCCCCAATAATATCTTGTTCATATATTTGGCATCGCAATAACCTCAAAGATTAGGAAGAATTATGAATATGATTAGTACGCTTTAGACGCGTTTTAAATTTATCATCGTGATTGTGTACACGTTCGCATGACATAATTATGATTTTTTAAAAATAAATCGAGGTATGCGTTCGCGCAACTTCGGCCGAATTTTCTTAACTAGCAAAAGCGTGATTAATTGTGTATACGTACGTGTGACATGATTTTTGAAGCGCTAAACGAAATGAATACACGTAGCCGTGATTTGTTTCAAATAAAAGTGGTAAAAGGTAGTGCACATAGGTTCTAAAACACGTAATTAAACAATTTAATTGAGCTAGGTATGATTAAAGGACCGTGCTAAAACCACGGAACCCGGGAATGCCTAACACCTTCTCCCGGGTTAACAGAATTCCTTACCCGGATTTCTGTGTTCGCAGACCATAAATAAGAGTCAAAATTTTCCTCGATTCGGGATTTTAAACCGGTGACTTGGGACACCATAAATTATCCCAAGTGGCGACTCTGAATTTGATAAATAATCCCGTTTCGATTGTCACTTAAATTGGAAAAACTCCCTTAATATACCCCTTTCGAGGTAAAGAAGGAGGTGTGACATGATGTAGAAAGAAAAAGTATTTTCTTTAATTTCAACAAAATGAGTATTTTCTTTTCATGATGTAGAAATTTTTTTTTTCTTTCATTTCAACAAAAAAAAAGTATTTTCTTTTCATGTAGAAAAAGTATTTTTTTAAAAAAGAGAAAAACCGCTCTGCAGGTGCATGTTAAGTAAGTCAAGCTAACTTGCGCTTCAGCCATGGTTAGACATAGGAAGAAGCTTCCATCTCCATCGGAAGCTAAGGTACATGAAGGAAAGGAGGAAACACCTGCTCAAACTCAACCTAGTCGCTGGTTATCAGGGATGGGAAGCGCACCTACAGTTTTTCATAAACCAGCTAAGGATGGGGAAATTGACGGAATGACTGTGACGCCGGACACAGGTATTCAACAGAGGTTACTGCCGGAAACGTTTGGTAGCTTTTTGCCATAAAAATTCCAGCCAATTAGGGAGGAAATTGAAGAAAATGAAGAGCAACCTTGCTGAAGGAAACAATGGAAGCATCGCAAGTCCATCGGCGATTGCAATTTTCAGCATACGTTAATTCAGGGCAGATCTGCCAAAATATGACACCTCCAGTGGAAATTGAGAGGAGAAAGGAAGCCATGCAGAAGATCGGATCTCTCAAGTGGGGAAGTCTTTATGCTATGTACCACCTGCTATGAGGGATGGTACTTTTGTTGTGCAAATTGAAGCCGAAGACACGAAGGAACAGGAGATCTATTGGAGTACAACTTTGATTGGGTTTGTGCTAGGTGATAACCCTTATGAGAAAGCAATGAACAACTACGTCACAAATGTGTGGAATTTTGTTGAAAAGCCTCAAATTCTGTATCATGAGGATGGATACTATATCTTTAGATTTGAAAATACTGAAGATAGGGACCTAGTACTCCAAGCTGGACCTTATACATATCACAATAAGCCTTTTGTTCTGCAACAATGGGAAATGGATTTCAATTTCGATCCAGGGAGTGTGAGTGTGATACCCTTGCGGATCACATTTCCAAGTCTACCCCTGGGGTTTTGGTCTACGGAAGCACTCAGTAAACTGGCTAGTGTTGTTGGGAAGCCTTTGTACGCAAATAAAATCACTGCTGAAATGGAGAAGGTGTCTTATGCAAGAGTGTTGGTGGAAACTGACATATCCCAACCACTACCAGATAGTTTTGAAATGCAAACTAAGAGGGGAGTAATAGTTCAGCAAATTGAATATGAATGGAAGCCGAAGTTCTATTGTGATTGCATTAGATTTGGGTATAATTCAAACGAATGTTGGCTCAAGGAGAAGCAGGAAAAGGCAGTGGAAGTAAAGGCTCAACCAAAGGAAGCCTGGAATAGGAAGCAATAGCACAGAAGGAACATGAAATGGATGCCAAAAGAGAAAAAAAAGGGAGGAAGATGTGCCTCAACAAACTAGACTTGAAGGTGACTTGCAACAGACAAATAACAAAGGAAATGAGATGCTAAATGATAGAGGAACAATGAAGGGGAAAGGTGTCCAACAAAGTTTAGTAGTCATGATGCAGTCCACAAACAGATTTGCAGCTTTGCAGATAGATGATGACCCAGGGGGCGCTGGCCCATCCAGCTTCACCCAAAAATGATTCTATGCACATGGAATATAAGGGGGCTGAACAAGCCCCATAAGCAGAAAGAGTTAAAAATCTTTCTGAGGAAACATAAGGTTGATTTCATAGGTTGTTTAGAAACAAGAATAAAGGAAGTGAAGGCTAACAGGATTATGAATAAAGTGGCTAGTGATTGGAGATTCTGCTGTAATTACAAGGAACACTCAAATGGTAGGATTTGGCTATTGTGAAAGCAAAATTTTGAGGTGCAGATATTGATACTAGATGAACAATTTATACACTGTGAGGTATGCAAGCAATGAGGTACATAAAAGGCAGCAACTATGGGATAAACTTGTGCAATTAGGAGCAAATATTAAGGAGTGTTGGCTACTTAGTGGAGACTTCAATAATGTCCTCCACATTGAAGATAGGATAGGGACTCCAGTTACACAAAGTGAGATCAAGGGGTTCCAGGATGCAATTATTACCCTGCAGCTCACACAATTGAAGAACTTGGGATGGTTCTATACTTGGTGTAACAAACAACAACCGGAAAAGAGGGTATACAGTAGAATTGACTGGGCACTGGGGAATTTTGAGTGGATGCAGAAATACAGTCATATTGAAGCAGAGTTCTTAAACCCAGAGGTGTCAGATCACTCTCCCATACTATTACAATGCAAGGCTATGGATCAAATGAGGAACCTACATCCTAAACCTTTTAAGTTGTATAGCTCTGTGATGGATCATGTTGACTTTGCAGGAATAGTAAAAAAGGTATGGGATCAAGAGGTAAATGGAGGCCAAATGCACAAGGTGTGGAATAAGCTCAAAGGGCTGAAAGCTGAATTGAAGGAATTGAACACTTATATGGCCTCTTATAGGGTTCAGCTCAGTAAGGCCAGGCAGAAACTTGAAGCAATTCAGAGTGAACTAAAAATTAAATATATGGATCAAGGGCTGATTGATCAAGAAAAAATGGCTTTGATGGAAGTAGAGAAATGGAGCAGCATAGAGGAACAGATTTTACATCAGAAATCTAGAGCAAACTAGATAGCTTGTGGAGACTCAAATTCGAAGTATTTTCATGCACAGTTGAAGTTGAGGACAAGCACAAATACTATAAACTCTATCTACAATGATCTGGGGGACAAGCTGTCTGATCCTATACTGGTGGAGAAGGAGTTTGTCAAATTCTTCAGCAAGCTACTGGGAGAGAATAATACTACATGTCAATGTCCAAACTCATAGGTCATACGTCAAGGACCTTGCCTTAATTTGCAGCAGAAGGAGGACCTAATCAGAGAAGTTACAAGAGATGAAATCCTCAAGGAAATAAAAGATATGCCCCATGATAAGGCCCCAAGAGTGGATGGTTTTCCAATTGAGTTTTTTACAAGACATGGGCAAGTAGTAGGTGATGACATCTATGAGGCTGTGAAGGAATTCTTTGTAACTGGGAAGCTGCATAAAGGAGTCAGCACTACTGTAACACTGATCCCTAAAGTGCAAAATCCTAGTCATGTTAAGGACTATAGGCCCATAGCATGCTGTACAACACTGTATAAGAATATCACAAAGGTTCTCAAAGCAAGACTAAAGAAAGTTATTGGAGGTCTAATTGGGAGCTCACAGTCAGCCTTTATAGAAGGTCGAAGTATCACAGACAACATTTTGTTCACACACGAATTGTTCAAAGGGTATAATAGAAAGGGTATCTCCCCAAGGTGTGTTCTTAAAGTGGATTTGAGAAAAGCTTACGATAAAGTAGAATGGTGTTTTTTGAAAAGACTGTTAACTGACTTGGGGTTTCCTTACAAATTCACAAGATGGGTAATGGAATGCATTTCATCAGTTACATATTCTCTCAACATAAATGGTGGACTCACAACACCTTTCAAAAGCAAGAGGGGAATAAGGCAAGGGGACCCAATGTCCCCCTATCTCTTTGTCTTGGCCATAGAGTACTTGCAAAGGGAGTTCATGCAACTGATAAGGATGAAAGACTTCAAATTCCATCCTAGATGCAAGAAAATGGGTGTGATACATGTCTGTTTTGCGGATGACTTGTTAATGTTTTGCAAGGCTGATATCCAATCTGTTAGGCTATTGAAACAGGCTTTTCATAAGTTCTCTATGGTATCTGGCCTTCAAGCTAATGCTGACAAGAGTTCTATCTACATTGCCGGGGTTTCGCCAAAAGGAGGAAATTTTACAAGAGCTGGGGTTCTCTGAAGGAAGCCTACCTTTTAAGTACCTTGGGGTTCCATTGGACTCCAAAAATCTATCCATTGCTCAGTGCTGGCCATTAGTAGAGAAGGTAACTCAGAAGATAAATTGCTGGACATCGAGATTATTATCATATGCAGGGCGTCTTCAATTGATAAATCAGTCTTATTTGGTGTGCAATCATTTTGGACACAAATATTTTTATTACCAAAGAAAGTGATGAAGATGATTGAGGCAATCTGCAGATCATTTTTGTGGACAGGTTCAACAACTGTTTCAAGGAGAGCCTTGATCTCTTGGGAAACAATATGTCTGCCACAGAGTGCAGGAGGGCTAAATGTAATGAACATGCTCTACTGGAATAAGGCTGCTATTGCAAAGCATCTATGGGCAGTGGCAAAGAAGAAGGATAGTCTATGGATAAAATGGATGCACATTTACTACGTAAAGAACTATAAGCTAGGAGATATGCCTATACCTAGGAATGCAGCCTGGGTAGTTAGGAAAATTTTGAGACAAGGAGAATGATAAATGACCTTCAAGGTATTCAAGGGGACCTGGAAACTAGACTGAACCAATTACAGAGAGGTGACTTGTTCAGCATAAAGAAACTGTACAGGCTTCAATTCCCTCAACTCCAAAAGGTCCAGTGGAAGAGCATTATTTTGCAGCCACACATGCATCCAAGATTCAAATTTATCCTGTGGCTTGCATTACATAGTAGACTGGCAACAGTGGAGAGGCTACTGAAGTTTGGTATACAAGCTCCACAACAGTGTATTTTCTGCGAGCAAGCTGATGAGACTTTTGATCATCTTTTCTTTGAGTGCTCGCTGACAAGTGAATTATTGTTGAGTCTGCTATGATGGTTGGGATATGATAGACCTATTTGTGACTGGCAGAGTAAAGTCAAATGGATAAGCAAGAGTGCTAAAAGAAGAAATGGACATTGTGCGATAATTACCTGTGTGTTTGGTATGCTGGTATATACTATATGGAGAGAAAGGAACAAGCTAAGATTCCAGGGAGGCAAATTAATAATCAACAACATTTGCAAAGAAATAGCAATCCACATACACTTGAAGGGGATTTCAATACAGAATTGGAAAGAAGCTCTGAAGAAGATAAATTGTTACCCTTAGTATGCTAGAAGCCTTAGCCAGTACTGGGATTGTCATGTATGGTTGTAGCTTAAGAAGGAATCTAAGACTAGAGTTTATGGAAGAAGGTGTGTAGATGGTCAGCATCTACTGAAATGTAATGTATTTTTTGATGGAATGAATATAAAAGCTGTTTATCAAAAAAAACAAAAAAGGTAATTTTTTTCATTTCAATAAAATGAGTATTTTCTTTTCATGATATAGAAAAAGTATTTTCTTTTATTTCAATAAAATGATTACTTTATTTTCATGTTGTAAAAGAGTACTTTCTTTTTCAATCAAAAAAAAGTATTTTCTTTATAGTTATGGAGCATAATTTCAACATTGTTTTGCGTAAAAAAGTAAAACAGCACATTCATTCCTTTGGGTTTGTGTGAATTTTTAGAAGAATAATTAAATTATTGAAGAAAATAGAGTTCTGAAAATGTTGGATAT